TCTCTCTCTCTGTGTCTCTCTCTCTGTGTCTCTCTCTCTGTGTCTCTCTCTCTCTCTCTCTGTCTCTCTCTCCTCCTCTTCTTCTCTCTCTCTCTCTCTATATATATATATATATATATATATATATTCATTTATTTATTTATTTATATATATACCAGGTTTCTAACTGTTATCCACCAAAACACCAAAATTAAATTGTTTTGTACGGAGGGAATTGAATGTAGGGTTAATTGTGTCTTGTATGGGAAATGTAATGTTTGCACTTTAATGCAGCTAGAGTCGGATTTCATGTCTGTAAGATCCATTAAGTTTGCAAGTGATTGAATCTAATACAATATGTCTAACTGGAATACCCCTAATGAAATGCTAAATGCTCGATGAATAGTGCAAGACTACCTCAACCTCGATGCACGTGAATAGTTAACACGATTCTTCTATCTTGAATTACAGATGCAGGAATAGTCAGGGTGTGTATGACAAGTGCATGCTGGATAACCTTGGTATGGAGAGGCCATATAATGGTTTTTACTCGCGGCCACACATGCACGAGTCCGCCCGTCCACAGCCTCCGCCGCCGGCCCCAAAGATCTACACCGACGTACCGCGGGTCTTGCCACCAGATTACCCGAAACCACCAGCGAAATATGGCAGCAGACAGTACTGGTTTGAATAGATGCATACAGAGCTCTAGGCATAGGCTGCACTTAGTGGGGATCACACCGAAACAGATCCAAATGGGTTACGCCCAATGCGAGAGAGGGTTTGCGGTTGTTATACCCGTGCAATTACGCTTGTGTGGTTAGCTGCTTGTCTTAGTTTCTGGCATGGTTATTAATATTTGAAGGATTTGCCTTCCGGTAAAAAGAAGTCTGATATTTGAAAATCGGAGTTGTGAAAACATGAGAAAACATACGAGTGGTTTCAATTGGTAATGCATGATATACAGTATATGGTAGGTTACCCCGCAATTAAGCTCAATTGAACAACTAGTTCTACTGTTTTTTATGTTAATTTACATGAGTAACACTTTGTAATAAGTATCGACTTAAAATTGGCTTCTTAATCCCAAACAAAACATTGTTATAATGTAATTACTGTTAAGTAAAAATAAAACCAGTGTTGAAGCTGGAATGTAGTGTTCTTTATATTTTAATATTCACCCTACCCAGTTTCTATACTACTATTCCCACTCATATTGCTGGTGGTGGATGATAAATAGCGTCGTGCCAGCAGTGATACATGATATTCCTTCTAATTATATGTATATAGTGTGTATATTGTGAGATGCTGAGTGAAGGTAAAAGAATCTATTCTATGAATTCCTTTACTTTTCCACAGTGGGCGTGATGAGCCATGATAAGAAGTAAGGTGCACTCATATAAACAAACTACACCGTTGTACATGTACCAATGTAATAATTTACTATCTACCAAGTCGCATATGGGTCCCGATTAGTGACATCTGCAAGATTGAAACAGGAACAATTCTATGATTAAACAGATGGCAAACGGATACAAAAAAAACCGAGATAATATCACTTCTCATCCCTGGAAAAACCACTGCGAATTTGTGCAAGTATAACAAAGCTACGAAGTGACACGTTACTTGCTAGCGAAACTAACAACAATGTTGGATAAACGTTTACATAAATTTTTGTAGCATCAATTCAAAGTGCACAAAACAGTACATGCATCGAAGGAATTATATAGTTTAATGTCCTAGCAGTACTAGCACTTCACGAAGGAACGAGACGAGTTACTTATACAAGAATTATTTCCAGGATATTCTCTGAACTTTATCCTTACCCCGACTGGAAAGTTATAGTCAAAAGTTCAATTCCCCATATGGAAGGCACTTCATGATTCGTTTTTTTGTAAGCTGAATAAATAGACGTCCCTAAAAATAACTGATCTATAATAGTAGACATTTTTCATCTACATTTTACTTCACCACAAGGTTTATTAAGTTACAAAATATAAAAAAGTACATGTTCACTACATGTAGCGCTAGTAAAACAACTAAGTTTCCACGGCTTGATTATAAATAAACGTCACTAAAACGACAACTGTTAAATAGAGTAATAAAGTAAATACTAATAAAGTAATTTTTAGGACACTTTACAATATTGTCACCAACTAGCTAACATAATATACAGCTAATAATAATACAGCTAATAATATACAGCAGACTGCAAACCCAAAAAACAAACGTCAAAATCAGCTTCTATCACTTAGGACTATAGCACCATTAATAATTTGAGTTTGACAGTTATATAAGAACTTGCGCTAATGTAAATAACAAGGGGTTTTCTGGCACAGATATATAGTTTACATTATTTGATGAAGCTTTACTGTGATCAATGAGACTACGGGATTCTGTACGGCATTAGTTCTTTATGCATGGAGACCTTCGGAATAACATGCAGTCACATTTTATCAGAAGTAGATGATAGGGAATTTTATGGATTACTGCAAACCACCCACAACAATTGGCATGACATCTTACACATTTTTAAAAATTACTAAGCAGTCAAAAACTACGTGTAATATTCTATACAATGTTATCAGAGTGAACACCACTGCTCACACATCTGCTACAATGTCAACACACCGAAAAGAACAAATGTTAATTTCCCCCAACTTCAAGCAATACTTTCAGACAAATCGTCAATAACAAATGTTCAAATATTTGGGCTTGCCAATATACTAGCTACGTCAAATCTGGTCGAGGTAAAAATATGCACCATACTATTACCAAACACTGTTGCAATCCTCTAGCGTGCTGTCTTACATCATCTACTTAAGAGAAACGCTACGGCTCTCTGGTCCTAACCCGTTTAAAAACAGTTCAAACATGATTCACGTGCAAAATGTGAAGCACTGCTTCGCTCGGCCCATTAAATTTGGCACATTCAGCTCAATACACGATTCTCAAGAAACCCAGTAGTCCACGAACGATGAACGATTCAAGCTCTACGCATGCTGCTGCCCTTTGCGACTGATCTTCTTCGATCTGTCAATCCTCTTGGGTGGAGGCGGTGCTCCCGCGGCAATGTGGCGCCCGTACAAACTGCAGGAAGAAGAACAAAGGAACCTCGCGAGCTGTCACTAGTACAACGTCACCAGTCTCGTGACTACGCTGAGACTCGCCGAGTATGGTTGCCTAGGATTTCGCAATTTGCGCAATTTATCACTCGGCTTCGCAATCGGAGAACATACGTCCTAGGAAAGCGACCAATCTGCGGCTAAATGCCACATTACGCAATCACTGCTACAATCTCTTTCAAGACTCTACAGTCGATCAAGCTGTAGGGAGGGGGGTTTGCACATTTTCTAACGGTTGCGCGTTGGTAGTCGTATTTCAGTTGGATGCTATGCGGGTTGCTATTAATCAGATGCCCCTATCACCTTTCGGAATACGCACTCCTGTCACGTATTAATTATTTATAGTTATAATCAGTTATTCATTAACTTCCACTGGCAATATTTCACGTCGCTACAAATCGATGCGCTTCCGTCATCACGAAAACTCTCCCTATAAAGCCCCTGCACTCACTATTTGTACGTCTCCGAGCGGATGTAGTCCATGACATGAGACATTCCGACCTGCAGTTGGTCAGCTACAGGCGGCACCCACGGATTATCCTCCAGCTTCACGACCTGACGTGAACCGACCAAGTCGAGATTCCCTGCAAAATGCACACATGCGTACGTACGCAGTCAGAGCAAGTGGGAGACGGTTTCTAGCCCTGCGGAATGCACACATGTGTACGTACGCAGTCAGAGCAAGTGTGAGATGGTTTCTAGCCCTGCGAAATGCACACATGCATACGTACGCAGTCAGAGCAAGTGGATGATAATTTCTAGCCCATCGACACTCAGAAGAGAGGGCGTCGAGATGATGTAGTCTCATGGCGTTTCTGTCGTGTTTTACACTTGCCCAACTCTGGTGGGCGTAGAGCTTATGCGTTCTCATGGCGTTTCTGTCGTGTTTTACACTTGTTTCTCATGGCGTTTCTGTCGTGTTTTACACTTGCCCAACTCTGGTGGGCGTAGAGCTTATGCGTTCTCATGGCGTTTCTGTCGTGTTTTACACTTACCCAACTCCGGAGGCAGAACGGTTAGTCGGTTGCCCTGTAGATGGAGCTCCCGCAGCCGAACCAGTTCACCTATCTCTTTCGGTAGAGCAACGAGATCGTTCTCCCTCAGCACCAACTGTGGTGACACAAATAAATATTCGGGTAAAACCTGACGAGGTGCAAAAAATCAGACTCGACCTAAAAACTTCTAACCCAAGATTTACATTTCTCGGAAACAAGAAGTATAACAATAGGGCGTATTACGGTACAAACTGACACAGCTTGAAAAGCATCTTTTGTCCCTCGAGAGCTAGACATAATGCACTACCATTTTAGATCATCTTTATTTATGTGAGAGAACAACCCTGCAAAGCTCTGTTTTCCTGTTTTGCTACCACTGCTAGGTGTAATACATTGAACACATGCTCCCACAACAAAGTACATGGTTTTTTGTCTGAAAATGCATTGTGCCACTGACAAACTAGTGATTCAAGCTGCACATCTACTTACAATTTGGAGATTCTTCAACAAGCCGATCTCTGGAGACAGATATTCAAACTCGTTATCGCCCATATAAAGAGCTCTCAGGCTTGCTGCAACAGAAAACAACATGTCATACGCTGAGCTGCATTAATTAGTGGATACACCTAAAGAGTTACAAAGTACAAATAAATGAAAGTTAAAACGTTTTTTTCACTGCTCTATTATCTACCTCATACATGTATACGATGTATGCAGTTCACGTAATTCAACTGACATTCAAACTGACACACTCCTAGAATAATATGCCTTGCTACTAGAATAATATGCCTTGCCCAACATCATTTGAGTGGGACCAGGGATGAGCCTTTCTTAAGTTCGGCAATACGTTCTATATTGTAGGGTCGCTATACGCACGCCAGGCAAACCTACCCATCACGAAGAAGTTCGCAGGAAGAGTTTTCTCGCTGAGGTTGTTGTAGGTGAGGTCGAGCACCTCGAGAGAAGGGAAAGCACCGAAGCCACGGGGTAGGGAATTCAATCTGTTCATCCTGCAAGTATCGACGATGCGACGCCGTGAGAGACGGCGTTAGAATGCACGAACGACTATGATGACAAAACGTTAGGGAGTGGTAGGTACTGCTGTATTCTTAAGAAAACACAACCGACTACGAGCTCAGGTTATCACACAGCATATCATCATCTTTAACTATCCACTTTATTTAGAATGCATAAACACAATACCAATTTTTATATGATAACAAAATGTAAGGGGAGTGACATGTACTGCTGCATTCTTAGAGAATTTTTGTTAGGGGTAACCTTATAAAGAATACAGTTTATAGTCCAAGGTACTGTGACGAAGAACGAAGAAGAAGATCCACGAATTATATGATATTTTAGCTATTCTACATAGGCATACTTACCCAACGTTGAGAATCCTCAGGTTGGGCATGGTAGACAATGTGATGGGAAGTTCCTGCAATTAGCACACATTTATAACAGAGCTATTATTTTTATATTTTTACATTACGGATTGCATAGCACATGAAAGAGATTATTGAGCTATTAGAGCTATTATTGTCAAGTGACCCAGGCGTGTAAACTCGAATCAAATGTTTAGTTGGAATGTTGACAAACAACACTGAGAAATCTGTTTGTAAGACAACATGTGACGTTAGACAAACTAATATTAATTTGATGGTAAGCTTATATGAACTTCTAAAAGACAATGTGTCTGTTATTCTAGCATTTCCCAATAGTGCTAATTAGATGACAATAGTCTACGTTTAAATGCACACACATGTATAAACTTGACACATTGGCACTTACTGTAATGTGGTTGTTGAAGACATTCAGATGTTCCAAGTTTGAGAGATCAGCAATATTTGGTGGGATAACTAAAAGAAAAACAATTTATTGATTTAAGAATTAACTTGCATATTTAATCTAAAAGACCCTGCTCAGGCAAATGCATTGCAATCACTTAAGTTTCACACATTGGAATATTTACCTTCAATCTTGTTGTGTGCAAGAGTTATCCGTGTCAGATGTCGCAAGCTCACTGCAATTACAAAATACATTAGATAAACATTATTACTAGATAAACATTATTACTAGATAAACAAGTTACATGATACACTAATTGCAATCAGGTAATATCACCAGTGAATAAAAACAAATTCATTCCTGGTGAAATTAATGAAGGATTTTCTCCAACAGCTCAATGTCATATAAACCTTCTGAGCGGCGCAAATCCACTTTAGGCACCTTAGGTATCACGAAGTGATGCACAGATTGCTGTGTATCATCAACTGATGCACAGACTTTCCGTATATCAAGGAATGATGCAAAAACCCTAACCCTAACCCTAAGTCACAAAGTATAAACTTGGCTTAGGTATCACAAAGTGTGTTAGGGTTAGGGTTGGGTTAGGGTTAGGGTTTTTGCATCATTCCTTGATATACGGAAAGTCTGCGCATCAGTTGATGATACACAGAAATCTGTGCATCACTTCGTGATACCTAAGGTGCCTAAAGTGGATTTGCACCCTTCTGAGCTTCTCAATTCTCAAGCATGTGTATCTTCCTACTGACATACATCATTGACATGTCATTAGCTAAGACTAAGAGCTATGCTAAGACTGAGTAAGGCTGAGAGGGTCTATGTCCCCCTAGGGTACCGCCTGGTATACCGGTATATACCGGAACGTACCCTGGTACTATCTAATATGCCAGACCGTACCTCGCCTACTCCACTAACAAGTCTAGGGAGTCGCCTACGCCTACTCCCTAACCCTAACACTAACCCTAATCATATCAAATAGCTACCAGGGTACGTTCCGGCAGTACCCTGGGGGACATAGACCCTATGTCCATGAACCTAAGTAATCTTGAGGAAGACTGAGTAAGAGACCTACTTAGATCAGTAATTTCTGAAATAGCCGAAATTCCCCTGTCAACAAGATCCAACTCTGGATTCTTCGTTTCCTTGCATTCGTCCACTGACTTCTTCGTTTTCGACATAGTGCAGCTCTACATTAGCCAAAAGCAAAAGGAATATAAAACGAAGAACTATTAAATTCCACTTGGACACTCCCAAACACACAGCAGTGCTGCCATCGTGTGGTGAATGTTAATACCAGTTGGCAGTTAGGTGTTTCTATTGTTCAAACGACGGATTGTTCATTACGCTTATTCTTTAATTTGCTCCAAAATATAGGGGAAAATTGCTCCTCTTGCCCACACAGATTACGATTCTCCATTTAACATGCTTTTATTTCATCATTCGTAAAAACTGGGTGGAGGGCAACTTCCTTTCACTGACTGGCTGGCTCAGTCACATATCGCCATCTATTGGCTGATTTATTTGTATAAAGTCAAGGAAAGGCATTATAATAAGCGCATGCGATATATCTCACCAGAGAAGTTATATTTTGTGATGAATATGAATTTAATATGGTTAGAGGGTATCTCAGCATGGGTTTATGTCATTAATTTTTATCAGTAGACCTGTGTATATAATTAGGAGAGCTTCCTAGCTTGCAGCGTGCAAAACTCTGACTTCATCCAATCCCGTCCTTTCTCTTGACCTCCCATGTCCCTCGCTCAGCCTCCTTTTTTTCTACAGCCCCTCAGCTATCTTCCCTGCCGCCTTTCCTCAGTCTCCAACCATTCTCTCTCTCTGCCGGTTACTTATGTTATGCAGTTGCCTTCAGTCCGTACTGCAGGCATAAAACGGTGCTCGCGCATGCGCAATATCTCCCAAGAAGAATACAATTTTGAGAAGATAATGCATTTAATATCGAGAGGAGGTATTCTAGCAGGAATTTCTATGATAACATCCCATCAGTAGACCTCTCTTGAGAAATAGGACGAAGATCTTGCATGTAAGATGCTCGCTGCATATATGAGCCAGTACACAATCTGGCTGCGTTACTATGTAAGCGCATGCGAAATATCGCACCAGAAGAGTTATATTTTGTGAAGAATATGCATTTAATATGGTTAGGGGGTATCTCAGCATAGATTTATGGAATAAATTTTTATCAGTATATCTGTGTTTATAATTAAGAGAGCGCCCTAGCTTGTAGGGTGAAAACTGCTACTTCATCCACTCCCATCCTTCCCCTTGACCTCCCATGTCCCTCGTCCGCCTTCTTTTTTTACCGCCCCTCAGCTATCTTCCATGCCGCCTTTCCTCAGTCTCCAACCACGCTCTCTCTGTCGGTAACCTATATTATGCAGTTGCCTTCATTCCGTACTACACGCCTGAAACGGTGCTCGCGCATGCGCAATATCTCTCAAAAAGAATAAAATTTTGCGACGCATATACATTTAATATCGAGAGGAGGTATTCTAGCATCGATTTATATAATAACATTCCATCAGTTGACCTACTCTTAGAAATAGCGAAGATCTTGCATGTAAGGTGCCCGCTGCATATATCAGTCCGTACAACAACCTGGCTACGTTAGTATGTAAGCGCATGCAAAATATCTCACGCAGAAGAGTTTATATTTTTGAATAATATGCATTTAGTATGGTTAGGGGTATCTCAGCATAGATTTATGGAATAAATTTTTAATCAGTAATCTGTATTTATAATTAAGCTCTCCTAGGTTGTAGGGCTACAAAACTGCTACTTCATCCACTCCCGTCCTTCCCCGTTGACCTCCCAGTCCCTCGCCCCAGCTGTGGCACGGGATTTATATGATAACATTCCATCAGTTGACCTCTCTTTAGAAATAGGACGAAGATCTTGCATGTAAGGTGCCCGCTGCATATATTAGTCAGTGCACAATCTGGCTACATTATAGAGGATGTACTTAACGCTATTACGATTAAACTATGCACGATTAAAAACTATCCTAATTTAAATAGTACAAATTCCACAAAACATTATTCTACAGTATAGGGGGCCAGTTATTGGGCATGCCCGAGCACAGGTATTCCGCTATTGCTGTAGGGAAATTGGCAACGATAGGCACCTAATCATGCCGGACCGTATAGTTTCTGGGCGGTAATCAGGGAACCGCCCCCCTAAATTTGAGGGAATATTATTTACATTTATTACGCTTTTATTTGATTTTTCCAAGCCCAAAAATGTCACAGCCCTATAAAGAGATGGGATGGTAATGACTATATGTTGCTCTTTTAACCTATGGGCTTATGTGCACATATCATTTCTCCTTTGAGGTATTACACTTTACAGTTAAATATATTATGTAAATAACATGTTTTGTGATAAAACCAGCCTTGAAATTGACATGTATGTTTTCAACATAAGTGTGACAAACATCAAATTATTATATAGGCATACTTTATTCGTATAGAATTTAGTGAGAAATGCAAATATTTACAAAGTACTGAGAAAAGGTCAATATAGATATTGTGAAACGAGACGCCTCAGCTCTATCAGGACAGCTGCGAATATCACGTTGGGCATTTTAGATTTTTAACCGATAAAGAATTTTGTGGTTAGCATGCGAGCGCGTGTGTGCGCGCACGTGCAGTGCGTATATATATATATAACGATATATATATATACTATGCGCGCACGTGTGTGTGTGTGTGTGTGTGTGTGTGTGTGTGTGTGTGTGTGTTGTGTGTGGTGTGTGTCGTGTGTGTGTGTGTGTGTTGTGTGTGTGTGTGTGTTGGTGAATGATGTGTAGCCTACGCGTGACGCGAACACGTACCAAACTCGAGACAATAACCAAGCTGGTTGTTTACCTATAGCGATACATTTTATTCGTCAACAAGCTGATTCGGATTCTACATGCATCCAGACTACCCCCATCGCTAGACTCACCCGCTAGTTATTTTAAATATTACACCACTTGCACACGTTCTCTGATAAAAAAAAATCCAAGTAAAAAATGAAAAGAGAAAAACGTTACGAACACACTCGTAAGTTGATCGAGTTAAGCCTTGTAAACATTTCAGCACAAAGTCACGTATAACAAAAATACCGTTAACTCTTACATGTTATCTCATGTTTCCTGCTAGCCCCACAACTAGTATTAGCCCCCACAGCGCCGTTGCTTTCGATAACATAGCGATTGATTCACTTACTATAACTATAATAAATTGTGCATTATTGGTACCGATATGAGTAACTGTACGATACAGCCAGCTTCTGTATCCCAAACAGCCAAGCCAGGCTCTATGGCGCTCTATTTATACTCAACGAGTGGGAAACACGGGGCTCAGAACGGGAATAAAGAAATGTGCTCTCTTTATTTTCTCCCGTTATTTTTGCGCCAGTTTCGTAAGACTGTGGTCGTGAAACGTACGGGCGTTAACACGTAGCCTGAATAAGACAGATACATGTCTGAGCAGCTTGGCGTTCCAAGTTCCCGTTTGGGCAGCAACACGGCTCGATGAAACCGCAACCTTTATGATGAAACACAGTTAAACCACCCCACTGGGGTAATCAACCAGGAATGCGGTATACGCTATAATCGCTACCGACATTATCGTCATCGTCGTCGTCCTCGTCATCGTCCTCGTCGTCGTCATTATCATCATCGTTATCGTCCTCGTCGTCGTCATTATCATCATCGTTGTCGTCGGCGTCATCGTCATTATCATCATCGTTGTCGTCGGTGTCATCGTCACCGTGGCTATCACCATCATCCCACGCCGAACAGCCGCCTCGCATCAACTACACACCCGGTTCTGTTAACTTGAGCGCTTGCACAACAATGCTTTTGGTCGAACTTGTTTATTGAGAGGTCCGTAGAATATGATTTGGTCGGTGATGGCACTAGGTAGGAAGTGATTGAGCAACGACAGCGTCCGTCCGAAGGCGCCGCAATGGTACTCGTTCTTCGGCGACACCGACATTACCGCCGCTCGTATGGCTGCGAGTGGCGCTGAGAAGTCCTTCTCGCGAGGTATGGCCGCCAACGACTCGTACACGTTGCGAATGTACATCTTGCCGTACTCTTCCCGTTTCAGCGGATGCATGTCGTCCCAGAGTTCGTCGATGAGATTTTCGACGAGGTCTTTATTCAGATTACCTGCCGAAATAATAAAGCGGGGGAAATGCGTGATAAATGACGTGCTGAACTATAAAACTGTAGATTGTCTTTGTCGCCATAGTCATAGACGTCTTTATGTATATTACCTGCCGGAATAAACCGAGGGAAAGCGTGATAACTGGCGTTTAAAACTATACAACTGTAAATTGTCGATTTTTGCCATAATCATCAACTTCTTTATTCAAATTACATGCTGGAACGAAAGGGGGGAAGTGCGTGATAATTGACGTATAAAACTGTAAATAGTCGTTGTCGCTATAATTATCGACTTCCTTATTCAAATTACCTGCCGGAATAAAAGCGAGAAATGCGTGATGTGTAAAACTGAAAAACGCTCAGCATATATATATCCTGCCTATCTCTGCCTATAGCATGTTTTTGCAATTTTAAATGGAGTTGCATTCTGGTTGATTTTGCAGTAGATATGGATAATGGATGACGTTTGAGTTTGACTTACCTGTGTCAAATCCCATTGGTCGAACTACGACTACACGGACGTTCCACTTCCTCATTTCTTTCCTGAGAAGATTGCTAAATGCTTCAAATGCATGCTTGGAAATCACGTACGGTCCCAGAGGCGAAACAGCCGCTACACCTGTTATCACAAAATTGTGTTTTAGTTTGTGATTTAGCTTAGATTAAGAATCGTATAGAGTCAGATATCATATATATCATTATCGTCTCCTCGTTCTTCTTCGCTCTATTCTATCCTTTTTTCGATTTCCTATTTTATACACTCGTTATCGGGATTTTCTCTCATCCCCCTCTCTCTCTCTCTCTCTGTCTCTCGCTCTCTCTCTCTCTTTCAATCTATCTATATAGTTGTCTATCTTTTTCTCTTTGTTTCTATATATGAACAACGCATACGTACACGCACACACACACACACACACACACACACACACACACACACGAACGCGCACGAACACGCAGCGCGCTCTGTCGCCTCCCGTTTCAAATTATTGCAGAACTATTTTCCATGGTGCTCGCGCGCTACCGCACACGAGTATGTTACAAGAGACGGCTCGCGTATATAGCTCTTGCATGTACGTGCTTCGCGTCAAACACGCACGCACGCACAAACGCACTTACACACACGAACGCTCCCACGCACGCACACGCGATCATGCACGAGCACACAGCGCGCGAAGTCGCCCTAAAGACTTGCCCGTAAAGCTTGCCATGTTGATGACTCTACCCTGAGCAGCCTTGATGAGATGCATGAAGCGCTGAGTGACCTGTATGGTTCCCATCACGTTCACGCTGATCACCTTCTCCAGTTGATTAAGGGGAATGAAATCCACTTCACCATAGCTAAATATAGCTGCATTGTTCACCAGTGCCCACACACCTAAATCAACGTAAATAGTATGCTTAATAAGCGGTTGCGTAGGTGGAGATCTATTTCGTAAATAGGCACAATCTATTGTTATATACTATTAGATTGAAGCGATGTCCTGAGCAAATATTCGCTGTAACGCGATCGGTATAACCAGGGGTTAATAATGACAAATAAATAAAAATATAAATCAATATATTAAATCATATTTGATAAATATATTAATATATTTAAAATGTTTAACCAATTAATAATTGTCATTATTAACCCCTGGAAGCTCATAGCTGGAAGTTGATCTTATTTGCGCATGCGCGCGATTTATATATTATAATTTATTATATTGCAATAAAACAATAAAACTTTTCGTTGCCGCGAAAGGTAAGCACAGAGAATCATCGACATTAAAGTAATAAACCTTCACTGTCATAAAATAATTTTACTTTACAACTGCGAGTGTTCAAAACAGGTAGGACGCGAAAGTGCGTGTATATACAACCATGTATTAACACATTTAACTGTTCATCTCGAGCATTCAAACGTCAAATGCGTTGCAGCGGAACACTTTTGCTTCCTTGGAATTCAGCTTGATTAACTAAGAATAATTATCTGGGCTAGCTGATGAGTAATCGTTTGTCAAACCATAGCTATTTCGCGTACGCGAACGGAGTGATATACGCGGCGCAGTAGATACAACCTAATATCATAGCCGATATCTGAAATTGATCATTACTAAATAATCTTGTACCTTCGTACTAATTCACGTTACTCTTCTAACTTTATAGTATTCATGATCACGCAGGCACGCATGACACATTATGTGAATGACCGGACAATGAAAATAATAAACATTATAAAGATATTGTTAAAAAAAACAAGTATACATGTACGTCATTTCTAGATATGCTGTTTATCGCGGTTGGATTACAGCTAGAGTAGCTATATCATTTCCGATACTTCTAGATGTGTTATTGCATGAACGTTTACAGTAGAACAGATGCGCGTTACAAATCCGCTGATTTGTAAAATGATTTTTACAAATTGATTTTTACAAATTGACTGATCACCTTCAATACCAGCGACGCGCAGTTTCTCTTCGACGACGGTCGCCGCCAGCTCCACCTGGCGGAGATTGCGGACGTCCATCTGGATGACGGTGAGGCGCGAGGAGCCGAATCTTTCTAACGTGGCGGCACCCACGCTTTTCGAATCCAGAACGCCGGCGAACACGTACATACCCAGCGAGTCGAACAAGCGTGCAAACTCGTAGCCCAGTCCTCGGTCGCAGCCTGCGTATATACACACACACGGATACATACACTAACGATAATAAATAGCTGGGTTCATCGATTGATTGGTTTTATTGATTTTATGAGGGCATATTGGCGATGGTGTTAACATGAACCTGCTAGCGCATCGCCGTTGTATTTAATATTTATTTAATAATGTGTAATCGCCGCGAAGGTGCGCGAGCTATGGTTGAGGTTATTCGGTAATGTTGTCGCGTGGAGAACCCTAGAGGCCACCCTTAAAAAATTGTTTGTTTCCCCTTTACCTACTCGCCTCTCAGGGTACCGAGTAGGTAGGTAGGTGAAAAAAAAAATTGTTTTGACAAGATGTGTGTATATATATTGTATATTCTGTTTTGTGTAGGTATGATTTTGCGGAACGAATTTGATTTTTGGTTTTTTTGCGAAACGAAATAATTTTTGTTTTGTTTTAATCGGCCAGTAAAATGTGTCGAGTAGCAGCGTTTTGGCGAGTCGGTCGGTAAATCGGTCGGTCCTTCTATTATCTACTCCTGATTTTATCTATGATATGAATAATTGAATCATTTTATACTACGTTTAATATATACGTAAATACATTATATATAATATAATTATATATATTATATAATATATACGAAAATATGCTTAATCAGCACGCGTAGACGCGTATATAACTTTTCGCGCGTGCATGTATAAAGCAAGTAGGCTGCTGATGTATGAACTCTCACTGAACCAATGCTCGGTTAGATCGCACTACTAAGTTCGCTACAGCACAGCAGCCGATGTCTGTATACGCGCTCGTCACGCACGGCGACTAGCGCATAAGTCTTCATTTACGCCACGACGTTGGTCGACTGTTACACCAGATGCCCCGGGTATGGAACGCATGGGCACCCCGAAACCATTCCCCGTATAGGAGGTGTACAACAGTAAGCTTCCGCAATTGTTCACCATTGCACTATTTCGTCTCTAGAAAAGGCCTTTTTTGGCGTTTCGCCGAAATTCGGCACTAGAGTGCAATAATTTGCATAATGCACGCAAGTTAGATGCCTTGTGGACGTCTAGAAAGCAATAGAAGTAAAATTATTCTTGTTGTGTAATTGTGCAATTCCAGCTAGTGGCGTAGCCATGGTCGCCGGTCGGCCATTTTTGTGTATGAAACGGGATCCGACTACTCTGTAGAAATTCGGATCATAGAGCTGGCAAAAGTTTCGAGCGGAGCATAGAGCACGAATCTGTAGTTATTTAACATGAATAAAGTGTATGTTTTGTAAGCGCAGTAACAGTGTGCGTATTTTTAATTAATTTCTGTTCGATGCTTATTCAGGCCTGCAGCCTATGGACGCCCTCTACTGTTGTTCAACACCTATAGACCATTCTTAATTATTATTCATGACCTGGGGTCACGCACGAAAACGAGGCTAAGCTAGGCAATGGCTGCTCAGGCAGGCACGCACAGAGGGGGTACACGCACGTACACGCGGGTACACGCAGATACACGCACGTACACGCGGGTACACGGAGATACACGCACGCACACGCAGGTACACGCACGTACACGCAGATACACGCACGTACACGCGGGTACACGCACGTACACGCACATACACGCGGGTACACGCACGTACACGCAGATACACGCGGGTACGCGGAGATACTCGCACGTACACGCGGGTACGTGCGTGTATCTGCGTGTACTGCGTGTACCCGCGTGTACGTGCGTTTATCTTCGTGTACCCGCGTGTACGTGCGTGTATCTGCGTGTACGTGTACGTGCGTGTATCTGCGTGCACGTGCGTGTACCCGCGTGTACGTGCGTGTACCGCGTGTATCTCCGTGTACACGCGTGTATCTGCGTGTACGTGCGTGTATCTGCGTGTACCTGCGTGTACGTGCGTGTATCCGCGTGTACGTGCGTGTACCCCCTCTGTGCGTGCCTGCCTGAGCAGCCATTGTTTACAAAATTGCCTAGCTTAGCCTCGTTTTCGTGCGATGACCCCAGGTCATGAATAATATTTAAGACTGGTCTATACTGAGCTTTACTAGATTCGCTACGGCTTGGAGCCCATAGCCGGAGAGTTAGCCTGAAATTGGCGTGAAATTATAGACTTCAAGTGGTGTGAGTGAGCGCTAGACTCTATCCTCGTACTCGAGAGTATTTCGTCGTTCGATATTCGTAGTAGATTGAAACGATATCTTTAAAAAAACTGGCTATATGTTTACGTAATTTCTAATGGAATATCCTTCTGACAAAGCGCCTCCCGATCGCTCCCGTGAGCATGTACAATCGTCGTCGCATCCGCGCGACAATATATACGCATAGATAGAAAAATAGATGGATAGATAGATAAATGGAGAGATAGATAGATAGATAGTTACATAGATACATACATTGATGGATAGATAGATGAATCGCAAGTGCGCAAATCGCGACGTGCAGGCGGCGGAAATGTTATCCGATATTTCAGGATTGTTGCAAAAACAGCCATAAGTTTCACGACTAGCGCCGCGGGATGCTGCGCAGGGATGCTGAGAAGCGGGAAGCTGAAGAAGATGCACGCGATGTTTACCCGCGTGGCGAAGTGAAGCGTCGGTAATAGTAAACTGCAACGGCTGCGGTCGGAAGTCTCGGTTCTCATTATATTACGAGCCGATAAGCGTTTCTATCAATTAATATACGTATACACTTCTCGATCTAAAACAAACATCTTTGCCCTGCGCGAAGCATGCGCGCGTGCACGCACGTACAGACGCGTATACACCTTCACCTGCACGTACGTACACACCTTCACGTACACAAGGCCGTACGCAGCAGGGGGGCAGCAGGGGCAGTTGCCCCCCCTAGAGATTTTCAGAGTATGCCTTTTAATGGGACAAATAGGGCAATAGAGGGCGTGGGGAGTACCTTTGCCCCCCCTACAGATCATTTCCTACGTATTTGCCCCCCTACAGAAAATTTCCTACGTACGGCCTTGCACGTACGTACAGACCTACACGTACGTACACACCTTCACGTACGTACATACCTTCACGTACGTACACACTTACACGTACGTATGCCTACACACCTACACGTACGTACACACCTACACGTACGTACACACCTACACGTACGTACACACCTTCACGTACGTACACACTTACACGTACGTAGGCCTACACACCTACACGTACGTACACACCTACACGTACGTACACACCTACACGTACGTACACACCTACACGTACGTACATACCTTCACGTACGTACACACCTACACGTACGTACACACATACACGTACGTACACACCTGCACGTACGTACACACCTACACGTACGTACACACCTACACGTACGTACACACCTACACGTACGTACACACCTGCACGTACGTACACACCTACACGTACGTACACACCTACACGTACGTACACACCTTCACGTACGTATATACACCTACACGTACGTATATACACCTACACGTACGTACACACCTACACGTACGTACACACCTGCACGTACGTACACACCTACACACATACACGTACGTACAAACCTACACGTACGTAGACACCTACACGTACGTAGACACCTACACGTACGTAGACACCTACACGTACGTACACACCTACACGTACGTACACACCTGCACGTACGTACACACCTACACGTGCGTACACACCTACACGTACGTACACACCTACACGTACGTAGACACCTACACGTACGTACACACCTACACACATACACGTACGTACACACCTACACGTACGTACACACCTACACGTACGTACACACCTACACGTACGTACACACATACACGTACGCACACATATACACATACGCACACACCTACACGTACGTACATACCTTCACGTACGTACACAACTACATGTACGTACACACCTACACGTACGTACACAACTTCTGCGACACGCACCTGTTATGAGGACTGCTTTACCGGTCGGCTTCACCTCCACCTTGGCCATATCCGTCCACGTCAGACCAACGAATATCGCCAGCACGAGCAGGCCCAACGCGTCGCCAAGGAAACGTGACGTCATCAGCGTGCCGACGAACACAAGCAGCACGGTCCTCGCGAGCGACCAGCAGAGGGCAAGATGTCCGCGCCGGTAGAGTCTCACCAGTGCGACGAGGTAGGCCGCTAGAGCGAACAGCGACACGCTGGCGAGCGTCTCTCTCCATTGCTCGACGCAGGCTGTCGCGAGAGAGACGACGTCCGCCGCTAGCGTGACCATCGACGTGGCGGTGGCGTCCGCCGCTAGCGTGAACATCGACGTGGCGGTGGCGTCCGCCGCTAGCGTGATCATCGACGAAGCGGTCGTGTCCGCGGAGCGGCGGGCCGACGGCACGGACCTGCGACAAGCAGCACTGTCACTCGCGTCACCAAGAAGTTTCGGTGACACGCGGTGACGGGCAGGTCGTCAACGCCTGCGTGACGGCGATGCGGGGAATTCCGGTGCCATGTGCCAGCGCTGCTTCGGCGCATCTCCGCAAACCTCGTTCATCAGCCGCACACCATCGCATCGCCATCCCCGTGACGCACGCGGTGATTTCAAGGGTGCTTGCCTCGCACGGCGATCCGGAAAGATGCGGCGATCCGCAGGGAGTGCTTCTAATGCGTGGCGACGGCGGTCACCACCCCCCGCATGACTCGTTGTCACAACAATACGTCGGCAGACCGGATCCGACGCGAAACCCGTTTTCCGTACTGCACGCGCCCGACGCCCGCGCGTGCGTGCGTGTGCGCCCGTGTGTGTACACGCGCCGAAGAAAAACCTGTACTTCGGCCAAAACAAGGAACTGAATACGGCATGTATAGAGCTCAGGACGCGCTAAGCGTATGCAGGTTATTTTCATACCCCATCAGCTATATTTAGCCGAAGACACATACGCGGCTGTAAAACACTACTGCCTCTACCGCCGGGGACCTTGTTCAACTACGCATACTCAGACTCCCCCTGCTACAGTATACATACACGCTCGCGCTCGCGAGGCCAGGCTCCGAACGACTAGCATTCATGCTCCGAACTCTCAGCGCTTCCGCAAGCCGCCACATCGCTTCCACGGCATCGCGATCTCGCTCGGTGTAAATTTTCCACGCACGATGAAGATGTCAGTCAAGCGCGGTTTCGCTACCCGGTCGATACATGTATATATATAAATATATATACGCGCGAGAAACAGGAGATACGAGGTTTCGAGTGCTATACTGCAGGGACGTCAGCGACTGTTGACGATTAACACCACTGTCGCATGACAGACGAGATGACGTCACGATGAGGGCGCCACGTACGCCGAGACCGTGACGTCGAGTGCTCCACGCTTAACTCGTTCGTTCGTTTAATTAACCACCGGAGACGAATCGTGGGCGAGGAAAGCGCCACACCGGCCGACGACGACACACACACACGGGCATGCATATATATACACGCACAGGCACGGGTTCTTAACGACAGAGGGTTTCAACGGCCAGAATTGCATATCGTGGCCACGCGTCAACGACGCGAGCGCGCTGCTGCGTCTAAATATAAAGCGGCTAGTATTTTTAGCTGACCTCATGCGAACGCGAAGCCCTCATTTGTGTGAGATAGCAGCGCGGGTCGCGCACGCCGTAACGCCACACCGCCACACATACGCCGTGTGAGTGTGTGTGTGCGTGTGCGTGTGCGTGTGCGTGTGTGGGTGCGTGTGGGTGTGTGTGTGTGTTTGTGTATGTGTGTGTGTGTGTGTGTGTGTGGGTGCGTGTGTGCGTGTGTGGGTGTGTGTGTGTGTGAGTGCGTGTGTGTGATCGTCGTCCCCGCGTATATACGCCTCACAACACCAGACGCACCGCCTCGAGTCAAAAACGCGCACGATCAACAAACTCAAAGGGCGATTTAATCTTTTTTTATATCGTATTATTTACATACAATAAATTCGCACGGCTGGCTGGATCGATGTGGATTGCGCTATATATACAAGATAAAGCAATGCAAACTCACGCTGCAACTAAAATGAGAGTAACGGATACACGATATCTTACAACTGTTCATACATGAAATCAAGAGCGTATAATTAAAGAAGGCCTTGATGAAATCGCTACATCGTGCAAGTAGTGACAACAACATAACGCAACAGGAGAATATTGCATGCGATCTAGCGAGGGTAGTGGCAGTATGGTATACGGTACCTACCTGATATCAAGCCGAAACCTGATATCAAGTAAACCAAAAACCAAAATTAATCACTTGGTACGTTTTATAAGCACTTGCAATAAATGCCATTGTTGTTTCATCCCTAATTTGCAACGGTGAAATGCGAAATCACACAAGTGCATTTTCAACAACTGCCCATCATCCTACACTAAATGGATAATATTAACCAGACAGAAAACAAAAATATATAAATTCCACCCTTCAAATGCGTCGGCTTATACGCTTGTGTTTTTAAAAGGCCTTCTACGCATAGATACGTATTAGATTGCATTTGCACTGACATTTAAACACGGCCAAAGATGTTTTTCCAACACGTTTTTATAACCGAAACACATACTGATATTTCTAAAGGTACCTACACACACGCGCCCCATGTCTTTCACAGCACTGGTGGATTCCATCGACGTGGATAGGCATTTGCAATGCTGACTGCTCTTGTAAAAAAAAGTCTTCGTTAACGCTAACAACTCTCTCCGCGTATAGCCTCCTTACTAACATCCACATTTAACCTGAACATACCCATATACGAGAAGTGGGAGACGAATGATCGGAGGTACACACCGTTTTGCAAAGTATTCCCTACGTCACATTTTGTACACACATAACCGAGATTCCTTTCATATAAATCGGATTAAACATATATCTCGTTTTCACCAAGTTATCAGATACGTTGCCACGATTCGCCGGCGCAATGCGCCGTTTAAATTTTACAGCATAGATGCAACATATATGTACGTATATCGCGTCGCACTGCAGCATGCCCGAGTCGTGAAAACCCTCTAATGCCGCATTATTACACCCAAACATAACATTTCACATGTATGAGACACGCTTTTACAAGCACAGCTTTATCGACAAACACAGAAACCAAGAATTTTAAATAATGCATTTGCATGAAGCACGTTTAATTGTGCCTCTAGTAATGACCATGTGAACAAACGTTAAAGGGATAGTAGACTCTAGGATTTTACTGCATACAACTGTACTTACTGTATAACAAATCGTCTATACCCACACGTATTTGTTACCAGATACCTAATTTAATTGTCATAATGAATTACACATCAACGCTACAAAATTTGAACGGCGCCATGACACCCGCGACCGT